ACCAGTAGCGGGTAATAATCTGAGGACCATACAAGGCCATGGGGTTTCTTAGTTATGTCTCTAACCTAGACCCCAGGGAGGTAGTGGAATTCACTCTGCGATGAGTCTGGTCAGCATATGGGGCCCTTTGTTCTCCTCAGAAGGGAATTGCCTATGACAATGACCCTCCTTTTTTTCTTAATGGAGGCAGTCGTAACATGTGGGGCTGACAGAGTCGTCCTGGGCAACTCCCTGGATGGTCCTTCCTCTACAATTGCTTGGCCCTTGAGTTCCAGAGCCCAAGATCTATTCTGCAAGGGCAACTGGTAAGGGGAGGGAGGGCAGGAGGGGACACACCTATGTCTCCTAGGAGGGTCCTGTTTCCATTCCCCTCCCTCACTTCCATTTACCAGTGGCAAGAGTATATGTGATCCAGTGTCGGCTGTGGGAACTCGATCTGCTTTTGCTTCTGGGGTCGTAGATTGGTAGAGGCAAAACCTTTCTTCTCTCATTCCCTCATACTCCTCAGCCTTTCCACTTCCTCCTTCAGTTGTGCCGCCAGCTGAGCAGATCATCCCCCTGCTCACCCCTCACACAGGGGCCGTCTCTGCGGCCCACAGGTACAGGTGACAGGCTCAGGCACTCCCTGCAGCCGAAGACCTGGACGGCAGCATCCCCGAGCAGGAGCACCGTCTGGGTCGCCGTGTTCTTCCTAGCCATGGCCTTTCTCTTGAGTGGTTACCATGGCTGGGCCCTGCCCGCACAAACTGCCGTGCTGCTCCCTGGGGGTCACTCTTTTATGTGAGGGGGTTGGCCACCTTCTTGCTTGCCGCCGCCCACTCTGAGTCTGAGCCGCCTCGGGAGGGAGCTTGTGTCTCCCTGTCCTCTCACTCTCTGCCCTGCGCTTTTAGCAACTTGTTCCTCCGTGGATTTTGCCATGCTTTTGGCACTTCAGGAAGGGTCCTCCGACTCGATCCTCCCGTTCGGAGCCCTTCAGCTCAGTGACTTAGTTGAAAATGGCGGGTACACGGCGTTTTAAACTGCGGCCTTCACACTTGTCCCCACCCATGATGATATTTATTTGTTAAGACAGTTTGCTGAACTTTACATGCAAATTATTAATGATACTGATAAATCAGGTTTTAAAAGCCTGGAGAACTTTAATGTGATTTAAATTATCTTCTGTAACCATAGAATCATAGAATCACTGGGTTGGAAAAGCCCTTAGAGATCATCCAGTCCAACCGTATCTGTCCACCACTAAACCATATCTCTCAGCACCTCATCCACCCGTCTCTTAAACACATCCAGGGATGGTGACTCCACCACCTCCCTGGGCAGCCTGTTCCAGTGTGTGGAACAGCTTCTTCTTCTTCCTTTCGGTGAAGAACTTCTTCCTTACGTCCAATCTAAACCTCCCCTGGCGCAGCTTGAGACCATTCCCCCTCGTCCGATCATCTGTCATTAGGGAGAAGAGACCAACACCCACTTCTCCACAACCTCCTTTCAGGTAGTTGTAGGCAGTGAGACCTAACCATGTCGCAGGTTCTTGATTTCTGCAGTACAAACTGCTGTTGTCATGAACCTGAAGAATTAAGTCTAAATGTTCCTATTGTTAGAGTTTCTGATAAGTGTATCTTGAATACAGAATATATGTAAAAATAAATTTTATAGGATGCATGACACTCATTTAACACTTTAGATATTGAGAAAAGCAAATGGAAAAGTGTCTCAGTGATGCTGGTTAGGACATTTAGAAGAAGCTCCAGCCCCACTTTCTTCAAGAAACGGTGAGAAAGTTACTAAGAAACATGGAAGTCTTATGATGCTTTTTGTACTGTGCCTTTCTAAGAACCTATGAATAGTTCAGATGCTTTTGTGATTTGTTGGTGACAACTTCTTATGGTAGTAGGACGCTTCTTTGAACACAGCATGGTGTCCTAAGAACTTCAGTCCTCGTTAGGACACAGTTTTATGCAGAGTCCCTGACTTCTTACTGACAGATACGTGTGTGAAGGAGTCGTAGATGGCTGAAAGCAGGTCACAGCTCTTTTCCTCTAAAACATGTTACTCTTCTTTAATTGCTTCAAGGCCCGGAAAGCCTTGACAGAGCGACAGAAGGATCTGGAAATGAAAACACAGCAGCTAGAGGTGAAGCTCAGCAACAAGACAGAAGAAGAAATTAAGAAGGCAAGACGGAAGTCCACTCAGGCTGGTGAGTACCTGCGTCTGTCAGTGGCCGAAGGTGAGCGCAGCCCTGTGGATGGCAGGAACAAGATGGAATGCAGCTGCCCATCCACCCATGTGTTTCTTCTTGTTTAATATTGTAGCTGCAGGGTCAAAGTGAACCATGCTACATATCTGTTTGCTATTAAAACTTCTGGAGAAAAAAGCCCAGTTTTTCCAAGTCAGGTGTCTCTAAATGATGATTTTGATAACAGTAGAAGGAAGGCGAATTGTCCTTTTGTTTTCTGAAAGTGTGCTGAGGTAACTGAAAGTGAAACTTTCAAAGTCAGATTCAAAGAAGCTCAGCTGAGGATGTTTCTTCTTTAAATCGTAGTTGCTTCCTTGGTTCTTTCCTAAATCACAGTCACTGACAACTATGTGGGTGCCTATTATGCTCCCTATTACTGTCTGTTTCCTTGAAAATGAACTTCTTGTCTTTTTTCCCACTGCTACTCGGTGATTAAAGTAATTTCTCTTCAAGGAATACTGAGGGTATAGCAGTCTGTTATACTGTACTGAGGATACAACTACTTGATGTGACCTATGCAGGTTTTACTGAGGCTCAAGCTAGGATCCATCGGGAGCTGTCTTTCCTGAGATCTGCCAAGCTGATATGTGCAGCTCTGTTAGTACCTTTGCTGAAAATATGTTTTATCTCGGGCTTCCATGTTTCATCCCTTCACAGGTCCATTCCTTGGCAGAGTGGTCCTTCGTAGTTTGGAGGCTTTTAAAACTTCAGGTTAGCCTGCCTGGGTTTTGAGTAGACAGAAGAGTCGTTCAGAATGTGACTGTGCATAGACAACCATTAGAGGAGAAACAAAAGTTACACGTTAGTGACTGGAGGCTCCATGAGCGATTCTCTATCCATCTGCAAATTCACAGCCTCTCTGTGTTCTCTTAGGTTCTCAGAAATATTTTGTAATAATTACTGAACAAGTAAGGGAGAGCTGAAGATCAGATGGGAGTAACGCAGAGTTCAGTGTGAGTCTCCCCATCACTGTCTCTCACTTTCTGCCACTGTTGCGGTGGCAGGCAAGGATTTACCCCATCCCCACATGTATTGCTATTCAGCAGATTGTTTTTCAGATATGACTTTCATTTATGACTATTTTTTTTAAACTGGCGTAACTTGCTTTCATAGTTCTCAGCATTTTGTAATTTTTATGAACAAATGTGTAATTCGTTCATATTTTTCTTTTAAAATCTTGTCTTTCCCCCTCATTCTTTCTCACCCAAATCACCTGATCTTTTACCACACATCAAGTGCATGCATTTTGTTGAAATTTTCTTGCACCTAACAAATACCATGTAACAGAGCTTCCTCCAGCTCCACCAGGACTGACCTTCAAACCCTCTGGGTCTGTCTGAAAATCTGAGCTGCAATTTTCTTCTAAGCTCCATACCACTGGCTACAGAAGACTAATGTGTCACTCACTATCTTGAACTTTTCAGGAGATGACCTGATGCGCTGTGTGGATCTTTACAATCAAGCCCAGTCCAAGTGGTTTGAGGAAATGGTGACCACCACTCTGGTATGTAACTCTGTAGCATCTTACATGTATAACATTGCAAATTGTAATAGCATACAACATTCACCAGTCATAGGGGGTTACATTGCAGAGCAGTGGGAAAAATGAAATAATACATCTCCCTTTGTATTTCCTTTTTCAGTTCTAAGAAAAACTCATAAGGGGAAGGAAGAAATAATTGTTTATTTGCAGAAGGAAAGCACAGAGATGTCAGTGTAGCAGCCTGCCTGCTTGTATAGGTTACATTCCACCATGGTGCCCAGTAAGTGGACACCAGAAATGTTCTTTGAAGGCAGGGTTTTTTTTAAGATTTTTGCCTCATTGATGTCCCTGTGAATACAGAGCTTTCTAGTGAAACAGCAAAGTCCATTACAGTGTATGGCTTTAAAGGCAGACTTCCGTAGCATGTTGCTTCCAATACTGCTACTCAGATGGACAAGGAGGGACTAAATGCAGATTTTGGGGTATAATATCCAAATCCAGGAGAAGATCGAGGCAGAAAAAAATCAGGAGGAATGTTAGAAATCACCTGCCTTTTCAACTAAAGTATTGCTGGGGTCTGCTTGCTACCAGCTGAGCGAGGTGGAGACTTGTTCCAGGTCATCATCTGGTGAACAGATAAAACTGCTCTTACAGTTGTCTTGTTAGACCAAGGGCAGTCAGACCCTCTGAGCCATGCATCCCAACACAGCATCCTGCTTTCCCAAGGAATCACTGCAACTTTTGGAGCTAGCAACAAAGCATGCAAAGCTTCTTGCAAGAAACAGATTTCTTCTTGCCTGCAGCATCCCTGAAGACAGTAGCTCCTCACTCTACCTTGTTTATCTCAGTTTTGGAAAGGTTTCAGTATTCTTTTCTGTCATGAGTCTCAGGCTGAAGTGACGCTGGGGTGGTATTGCACTGAGTGCCAACCTTCTGTGTGTCATCCTTTCTCTGCGCCTTCAAGCTCAGATTCCAAGAAAAATATAGATTTGTTTTCCTTTGTGTCCAGGAGCTTGAGAGACTAGAAGTTGAAAGAGTGGAGATGATTCGGCAGCATCTTTGCCAGTATACACAGCTGCGGCATGAGACAGACATGTTCAACCAAAGTGTAAGTCTGTTTTTTGTTCGGTCCCTTTCATCTCCACTGCACTGCAGCAGTACTGCACTGACAACCTGCAGTCCCACTCCTCCAAGATTCTGTGGTTCTGGTTACACTTCGTACTGCTGGAATGCATCTTTTTCCTGGGGGAGACATAATGAATTGAATTACATTTGGCCAGCATGAGCCATTATTAGCTTTTCCAGCATGATGCACTACTCCTTGAGGTCATCTATTCTTGCAAGAAAGATGGTAAATAGTTTCACTGTTGGGGGTGGGAGTATATATATTCCTCTTAAAAAACTCTCTAGTTTTCAAATTCTAAATTACGGGGGATGTACACTGACCTTCGTACATGGTTGTATATGGTGTAAGGTGCAGATTATAGGACAAGTCAGAGACTGATTGGCCATTGCCTGGTATAGGAAGCCTGTCTCTGCTTGATATGAAAAGTATACCTCTTCTCTGATTCACATTCAGATCTGGCTGTAGTCCACAAAGTGTCACATACATGCAGTTCTCACTTGTCCGTAAATGCAGTGTAGACATACCCATAGCTGCTGTATGCTTCGGAGTAATGACTGTCTCTGCTTGAAATGTGCCCTTCACATTTTGTTTCTTGTTTTGTTCATTTTAGACTGTAGAGCTTGTGGATCAGTTGCTTCGGAATGTGGATCCTGCCAAAGACAGGGAACTGTGGGTAAAAGAACACAAAACTGGAGATATCAGACCTGTGGACATGGAAATATAGACTGATCTATAGTTGTATGTGATGAGTCTACTGAATTAACCAGCCTAATACTTGTTTTTTAAGGGTCAGAAGAGTATAAGGAAAAGGTTGTTCCACTACCAGACACCTTGTAATTTATGCTCTGTTACATTTAGACATTAAAATGGTCCTCATTGTGCTAAGCCTTAAGCACCAGGCATTCCAAGGTGAAGAAATCAGATGTGTGATTCCCACCAGGGGTTCACAGTTGCATGTGGCTTCCAGAAGAAATCTGCTTTCTGGTACAAAAAGAGCTCTTTTCTTCAGTGACTTTGTGCTACAACCCTTGCATGACTATCTTTATACAGTATGCTAGAAGAACCGTGCAGTTCTTCTGGCCAGCAAGTAGGTAACTGAACGTGATGCCAGAGGCAAGGAAGTCCTGATCATGGATTACAGGTCTGTCACTGCTTTCGTGGCCATAGGAAAGTTAGTTAACTTTTTTGGCTTCCCCATCTATAAAACACACCTATCTCACAGCGATGTTGAGAGAATACATTTATTTCATACAACAAAGTTTCCTACCTTAGCAGTAAAGTGGTGGCCCTTCTCCCAAAATCTATGGAGAGGACTCCTGTTCTTCCTGTTTTATACTCCCTCTCAGGGATACATAAACCCATTGTCATTGTGATTTCTGTTCTAGGCCAATCAATAAGGTTGAAAATGTTATCATCACCGTTATTTATCAGGAAAGACTTGGTTGTGCTATACCTACCTCACTAGCTGTCTGAGTGCCCTCAATGACAGAAAGAGATTATATACCAAGGAATAAATGAGACGTTCAAAACTTTTCCTGCTTATGCAAGATGTTTTCTCACAGAATCTCCGTAAAGACAGTTCTCTAACATTTTATTTGGGATCAAGGTTTAAATTGCCCTTTGTTGGTTCCTTCAGGGTGAATATCACAGCCTTTAGGTATCTTTAATTACCAGGTTTGTTCAGCTGAATTGTTTATCCTTAAGGTAGGTTTATCTACTTAGACCCTGGTTTTCAAAGGTGTCATGATCTGTGATGCTAGTTTGCATTCAATGTAGATACCAAGCACTTTTGTGCCATCAGATTCTTAACCTTAGGTTTTTATCTTTGTTACCCTTACAGCAAACTACCAAAAATTCAACACTGCTTTTGGCATAGTGTTGTGTAGTTTGGAGACTGGTTTTGAAAAGATATTAATTTTCTTTTCCTGCTGTTATCTCTGGTTAATGCGTGTTGCTGTTAATATATTTTTCAGCATTTCATACAATGCCAAGATAAGATCTTAAGATTCTTGTTTTAGTTCCAGCAGAAACATTGATTCTCACCACTGTGGCCTTTACTTAGTGTTTACTGTGTTGTTATCTATGGTTTCCAAACCATACTGTTTCATTTGATCCACAGTTATGCTTCATTTTACCTCATTGTTACCATCCTCTTTTCCTTAGTACTGAAATTGCATCCTTATTTTGTTCTGCTATTCTAGGTTTTTGTTCATCAGTCTCAAAGTGCCGTGGTTAAAGCATTGAGAATTATTTTTCTCCTTTACAAATAGAAACTGAGACAAAGAGAAGTCTTATCTGAAACACATTTTTAATATTACTGCAGTGATTAGTGGTTGTGGGTTTTTGGGTTTTTTTTAGTTCAAACTGAATTCTGCTTTATTTTCCTATTGTTTCCTTTTTCTCAACCATCTCTTTACAGTGATCCATTCCTGTCTTGCAAATGCCTCCACAATCCACTTCTCTGCTTTATAATTAACCTTTATAAACCTTTGCACACTGCCAGGTGCATGCTTAGCATCACCGTTCCTAATGTGACACCTGCAGAACCACAGTTCTGAATTTGCAGCTGCTGTTTTATTCTTGATGTTGGAAACATCCAGCACACTGTTAGGAGTCTCTCCTAAGTTCCTGCAACAACCTTTGCAATGCGAATGAAACATGGCTTTCCAAAGCATTGTGTAGTCCTTGAACTCAGTTGGGGTAAATATGCTTCCCTAGACTCCTCTTCTAATGCTCAAGCAGGGAAGTGTCATGATGACATCTCTTTTTCAATCTTCCTATTGATTCATTCTCATATTAATTTATTTGGTATACCAATGTGGTGGTGTGGTGTTTTTTTAATTTTAAACCACAGGTGCAGGGTGATCTTTCAAAACTTCAGTGTCCAGAAATAGCTGGAGTACTTAAAAGCTGCATCTCAGGTTGTTTCCTGTATTCTAAGCTGTATGTAAATTAAAATGAGCATCACATAACCACATTCTCGTTTTGTTAGCAAAACCAAGCTAGTTGTGCACTTTATATAGTTTTCTTTTTAGCAAATATCTGAAATAGCCTGTTGTCAATCACACTTTTATTTTTCCTCTTTCTTTAAAGATGTTTGTTTTTTTATCTGTTTTGGCCTGGAAATACTGTCCATTAGTATTCAGTCCTCGGGTTTCTCTGAGGACTGAAAATGTATTTTTGGTTCCTCTAATAAGGTGTATTTAGCTGCTCTCAATTCTCAGTTGTATTTTCTGGGAGGGGTTTTTTCCCCCTTTTGTTTTATTTTCAGACAGTTTTCCTACTACTAGTGTTTGATCCATTTGACATGTTGCAGGAATGTGTGAGCTGCACAGAAGGATAATTCTCTTGATGGAGTCTGTGTCTCTTCTTAACTTTAATAATCTGAGGAAGGTACTTGTACCTGGCTGTTAATCTTTACCAGGCCCAGGAAACACTTGTGCAGTGCTGCTCTGCAGTGGGTGAGGTGCTTCCTCTACAACAAGACTTTCATCTTCCATGAATTAGCTGAAAGCGTTAGTTAAGTTTCGCTGTTGCTTGTAGACATTTTCCAACAAAACATGATATTCCCTTGTATTACAACACTGCAGACAGTGGGATCAGTGTTACCTGGCTTAATTACTTCTCTGGCTGGATCCTGGACAATGTGATGCTTTACAAGCCAAGGAGTGCTGAAGCCTCTGTGCTTCTGAATGGACAGTATCTTCAAAGAAGGTAGCGGCATGTTTTCAGGGAATGATGGACGCGTTGCCCTCATGTTCATTCCTAACAAGGTAACTTTGGAAGTTTCAGCATTGCTCTATTCATCTGTCACATACTTCTCTTGTGCTGTCAAGCATTTGGCTCCCTGGTGATCTCTGCTTCAGCCAGAGAGCCTTTTGGTCCTTGTCTGAGCTCAAGGGCTTCATGAATTCCTATTGCTTTGTACCATTGGATGTCCAGACTTCGATGCCAGAGCTTGTGATGAGCTCAGTTACCTCAGTTACCATACAGAATGAGAACATTTTATTCATTATCCATACCAGCCCGCCTGTGTTTTCAAAGCCATCTTCTGGCACAGTTTACTTAGTAGACAGTCCTTGTAAGAAGTCTTTCTCTAAGGTATTCTTCCAGCTTATTTACTGACAGAACTCATTCTGGATCCAGTGCTGTCGGCTGATTCCTCTTGGAGTTAATGAGCTGAACGTGGTACGTCCTTTAGCACGTGGGCCAAGTGCACTCTTCTACCATCACTGGCAAAATTACGGTTGCATCCATGGAGCAACATCCAAAAAGGTCTAATTCTCAGATTTCCAGTCTGCTCCAGATTCATTCATGTTTGCAACTAACACTTGCTCATCACTTCTGCATGTTGAACATCTACTGAAAGACTTCAGTTTGTTCCCTTATAGGAATATTATTTCATTATTTGACAATGGGATCTTTAGAGACAGCTTTAATTTTTTTTTTTTTTTTAATGTTAAAATATCATAACAGCAGTGAAAGTCATATGGAAATCCCTGTTACATTTCTAGAATGTTTCCCCCTCTGCAGCCCTGCCTGAGCTGCTGTGGGGTAACTGCATTCCCCATTGTATTGCAGTTACAGTAAATACTGAAATCATTCTTCCTTTCATGCATAAACTTGTGCATGTGTGCTCTGGTTCTCTTTGACCTGTATGCATCTGCACAGTTTCATGTTGCAAAATTACCTGCTTTTTGTTTAACTGACAGCCCAGTGCTGTAATGACAGTGTATGTAGCTGTCTTGTGACAGTGAACTGCACTCAGATCACCTCTTTTTTTGTTGTCGTTGGGTTCTTTTCCCTAGCAGGGATTTTCTGTAAGGCATTCACAGGAAACTTTATATGCTCAGTAGCAGTCATAATTTCTAAGACCTCCTCAGAACCTCTTTAAATTTGTCCCTGTTTTCAATGTCATTATTTAAATATTTGCTACAAGTTAGACTGTTTATGTAGAAATATGCACTCTTCACCAGCTCTTTGGAAGTGCTCAGCACTCAGATTTCTTGGAAGACAACAGGGTGTATGTAGGTAATAAAAGACTTTGAAAATCAGGCTAGCAAATAGAAATCATAGAATCATAGAAT